GTGTGCCTTGGCAGTCTGGACAATATACAGTATAATGACGATATCATGTTGTTGTTTATTGTATTTTTCACAACTGACAACAATTGGATTATGACACAACATTGCTGAACTTAAATTAACAGTTGTTTAACACTAATGTAGTATTCACTTGAACACAGAAAGTTTAATTGACAAAACTTTGCTTCCGAATATCTCAAAATCCCAATAATAGGACCGGTCTATATCAATACTCAAAGGTTTTGGGAGGCATTCTAGTCAAGGGTCTTTGTCTTCTATAATGTGTCTCATGTTTTTGTATGTATCTGTATTACTATACAATAAAGAAGAAAAACCCTCNAGGAGAGGAGAGAACTGGCTCTCGAAATCCTTGAGGCATCAGGTAAATAAATTAGGGCCGGGACTCGATTAAAAAAATTAATCTAATTAATTACAGGCTAAGCCTGTAATTAATTAGATTAATTTTTTTAATCGAGTCCCGGCCCTAATTTATTTACCTGATGCCTCAAGGATTTCGAGAGCCAGTTCTCTCCTCTCCTGTGTCATGTATTTCTTTGAACACTCGAAATTCACATTCGGGATCAGAGGGAAGGACTCCATGACTGCCTTTGCCATCTAAACAAACAACACTTATGTTATGGAGGGTTTTTCTTCTTTATTGTATAGTAATACAGATACAGACAAAAACATGAGACACATTATAGAAAACATCCACCCTTGACTAGAATGCCTCCCAAAACCTTTAATTATTGATATAGACCGGTCCTATTATTGGAATTTTGAGATATTCAGAAGCAAAGTTTTGTCAATTAAACTTTCTGTGTTCAAGTGAATACTAATTTAAGTTGAGCAATGTTGTGTCATAATCCAATTGTTGTCAGTTGTGAAAAATACAATAAACAACAACATGATATCGGCATTATACTGTATATTGTCCATTGGCCAACCTGCCTGCTAAATATTATGGTGATCAGCATCGGCCTTTAAAAAAACCTTTATCGGTCAACAACTAATTTTGACAGCTTTTTGAATCCGTCCTTGCATTAAACTGTCTTTCACATTAAAAACTCTGCTTGTTAACTGGATGAAAACAGAATCTCTTCAGCTCACCTTCACAACAATGACACCACAGCACAGTTCTTTGACCCAGTAATGATTTTTGAATGATTAGGTCACATGACCTGGAAGGTATTGAAGCAATATGCTAATTTTTGCATAAAAATATTAATATAAAAATATTTAGACTATTAAAATGCAATAAAAAGAGGTGTGTCCTATGCAGCCAGTGTAGTTCTTTGACCCGGCACTGATTTTGTGAATCGGTCACATGACCTGGAAGTTATTGAAGAAATAAGCAAATGTTTCCATCAAAAATATTAATAAAACATATTTAAAGTATTAAAATGCAATAAAAAGAGGTGTGTTCAATAAATGTATGCTCTAGGGTGAATTTGCTTCACATTCACACAATCGAGAAGCTGTCGATTTATTTTTATTTTAACATTTTTCTTGTGTAATTGTAAATGTCATTTGTTGATGGTCCCTAAGTGAAAGCCTCGTTTCGCGGAGAAGATCTCCCCGTTAAACTGACGCTGCCGGCGGGTCCGGGAAACTGATGCTGCTGGCGGGTCCGCGAATGTCCGTCGAATATCCAACCTAAAACTAAATTCACCGCGGTAAGATTTGAGTGGTTTTCCTAATTTAAATGAATATTTTCATGAACATTCTGCTGTTTTTTTAATGAAAATTCTTAATTGAAATATCATGTTACCCAATGACTCGAAATCAATGCAGCATTATAGTACAATACTGGACAAATACTAACTACAGGTTGATATGATCGAACATAAATCCGGGATGCGCCTTATAGCAAACCAAGCTGCCCCAGCCATACAACCCCGCCCCTTCCGTTACCACAGCCACTAGCTAAATGTCCAACTGCTAGCTTGCAACTGAAATCAGTGGAAGTCAGTCAAGTCTTCGTAAATTGTAAACATTAAACTGTCCGGCACTTTTAAATCTGGAGGGCAGGTCTAATCATAGGGTCTAACCAAAAGACTGTATATTTAAAGGTCTAACGCCAGCATGTGCTCCGTCCTAGGATGTTGTTCTTTGAGTCGCCATGCGCAACGCTTCAAGTTACCTGAGGATCCGGACAGGAGGCTGGAGTGGGTTCAGTTTCTTTTTGAAGAAAACAAGCAACAACTTAAAGAATCGTGCTGGACTGACATCACCATATGTAATGAACACTTTACTGATGACTGTTTTGAGCACCCGAGTACGGCGGCAGACACGGTCCAGCTGAAGCCCAGTGCCGTCCCCTCAGTGACGGTCAAGGCAGAACCAGAAGAGCTGCTGGAGAGCCCACACTATGTGGTGAGTCTAGTTTGACAAGTGGAACATATTTTTTGTTGAGTGTCTAATAAAGTCACGACATTCTAATAAAGCTGGATATATGCGGAATGTTAATCTAATAATCATATACATACCTTTGGGAGTTTTGCATGTTTACCTTTAGTATAATATGCTAGATCTATTGTTAAATGAATTGTGTGTAGGCCTATGCTGTTTAAACTGAGTAAATCCATACCTCTTTTCCCGATAAAATCAGTTAAGAATTAATATCTGAGACCTATTAAATGGAATAACTAATGTAACTAAGTCCTTTTTGCATTCACGTCATAAACACTCAACATGCTTCATGACGCAATAACCACAGTGAAATGTGCCAATCAACATCCTTCATTTAAAACAGATTTGCTGTCCACTGTCATGTAAATCACGTCCACATTGTTTAACATTCATACATTAGTGTGCTAATCCACCTAACGTGGGGCACAGCCCGGTTTAAAGGCTGCTTGTACTCTGACAGGTGCTTAATGGCACATTGCCTCATCCCCACAGTGCTGTTGAGGTCACACACAGTGTAATGAGCACTTACCGTGTTACTGCTGCCCAGTCTGTGAAATTCTGTTATCCCACTGCCCGCATCTACAGGCTAATGTAGCCATTAACCATGATGGTGTTTAGTATACAGATTGTTCAGTTAGTACACACATATTCATGGTACTCTCAGGTGCTCTGAAACAAATGTTTAATGTCCTAGTGTGCTGCTTGTTAGGAATGGAATGAATGCTTGGCCTGTGATTTTGCTGAGAACACCAGGGGCACACTTTACCATTAAGCAAGGTAGGGACCTGCCATTATTGTACAAACCTTTGTTCAACTACAATCCTTTACTTTTGTCCTTTGTGTAGAAGCCTGTGGATAACCAAGGTGCTGCTCCTCAGTGTGGTGACCTTAAGGATTCAACTTTAAATCCACCTGACGCTTTGAATGCCGTCTCTTCTGGATACCCCCAGATACAACTCAAAGTTAAGAATGTGGATCTGAACAATCAGGAGTGAGTTAAACGTCCTCAACGGTTTGTGGATTTTTTTCAGTTTGCATTACATTTAACAATTGTTTTATTTTCCTTTCAGAGCTGCTCCTCTGCAGGTAAAAGCAAAGCATGTTGTGAATGAACGCTGCCTCTTCCAGTTGTTCCGCCGTAAGTGCCCGTCATGTGGATGCAAACTTCAGATGGAGAAGGTCACCTATGGCGAGCTCATCATCTTGAACCGACAGTGTGTTCAGTGTGACTATAGACACCAGTGGAAAAGCCAAGTCGATGCCAGCGTGCCCACAGCTGAAGATCAACCCCTAACAGAAGATATAGACGTAACGCCAGAGACCCATCAGGTAGGATTATAATCACACAACATATCCACACTGACTGTAAATAATGACCTCCTAACTTACTCCATCCTAAAGCCCTAGAAGGACAAGAATATGTTTTTACTTTGCATTCCTTGTGATCTTGAGAGAAAAACTGATTAAAATAATGATGTATTATTTAGTAGACTGCCACTATGCTCTGGTTGTTATGCTAATGACTAGTTTACAGTATTACTTGTGTAACACTAAGTCAATGCAGGGCTTATTCTTGCTGAAGTTACTGTTTTCCTGAAGTTCTGTGGTGTATTAATACATCTGTTGCATCTAGTAGAAGCTCTGAAGGGTAAAATCCTTTAAGGAAATAAAAATGCCTGAATAATGTTTATTGGCTAATGTAAATAGCAGTTAAGAGTAGTACAATCCTGCTACCGTAGCCTTATCCATAGCATCATGGATACAACTACAAATCTGAGCACTAAGCATATTCATAGCAGAACAGAGCAGCTGCAGCTGTGCTCACAGTGGCTGTCTACTGTCAGGGCTGATTATGAAAGGAGTGATGAGAAATAAATGCATAATGTATAGTGTCACATCATCCCTCTTATCTGTAGTATCTGCAGAGCGTTTTCCTAAACTGGCAGGCTATTACGGCCTGAACTGTTTGCACATGGGCTGACTTCTCATATATAATGTATTTGAATACTAAATCATAAAGGTGACTGCCGCCTTCTTGGTCATTTGTCCATAATATCCTGGGCTGTATAGACTTAGACACTTTTCCTATTCCAGGTTTTCATTGTTGTCGTTGTATTTTTCACAGAAAACCTCTACTGATGGCAACCCCAGCAGCACAGTTCTCTCTGAGATTGTTACGTTCAGTGATGAAGAAAGTGATCCGTCGGATGAAGGAGAGCAAGGGGTTGAAGGTGGGGTGAGTTCAGATTTGGAATGGGAACCAACTGAGGATTTCACTGAAACGCTCACAAAGGATTCTGAAGACGAAAGCGGAGAGGAACAAGATTTGTATAATAAAGGGCTCTGCACGGAGTGTGGACGTTTTTTCCTGAAGTCTCACACATGTGAGCACAAAGTAAAGCCCTATTCCTGCAATATATGTGGCAAAAGATGTGTTAATGAGCTGTCTCTGAAATCTCACAGCAGAATCCACGATGAAACATATGACCATCTGTGTAAATACTGCCACGTTGCCTTCAAAACAAAGCTGGACAAACTAAAACATCAGCAGACCCATGAAGATAGCACAGATCCCTATAAATGTCCTCACTGTCCAGAGACATTTTCCACCTATAAAAGACGCTTGTACCACTTGGCAAAACACAGAATATCAAAGAAGCCCAAATGTGAAGTTTGTGGGAATGAATATAGGAGTGCACGTCATCTTCGGAGACACTCTATTGTGCACACAGGATTGAAACCGCATAAATGTTCAGAGTGCGAACGCAGCTTCAACCAGGCGGGACACCTGAAGTCCCACATGCGTCTGCACACAGGAGAGAGGCCTTTTAAGTGTCTGCAATGTGACAAAAGCTTCAATCACAACGTGAGCTTGAAGAGCCATTTGCAGAGTTACCACTTATCAAGCTCTGGCCTGGACGGAAGAATTGTAAGTTAAAAAAACAGTCAGCCCCACTGGTGATGCTGACGACAGTAGACATGAGAGAGGCACAGACTCTAGGTTTGACAATGTGGAAAGAGAAGAAGATACAGAAGAAGAGAAATTAAGACTGTGCAAAAAAGAAGGAGAAATACAGGAAGACCTAAAGGAAGGTCTGAGAGAAATTCTGCAGGCAAACGTTGAAACTCTAAGACTGTAACATCTAAACAGGTTCCAGCGATGAGAAAAGTGAAGACAAGCAATCAGACAGTGACTTATCCTTTGAATTGGCAGAGCGCGAAGAAGAGGATGAGTAAGACCTTCAGGAAGAGCATCAACGAAAATGAGACACAGCAGCCAGAGCAGCGGTAAAAGCACGGGGAAACTTAACACATAAATACAGTTTAGGCCTAAATTATTAGCCCCCCAGGAGTTATGGAATATTTTCCTAATGTTTCCAGCATTGATGAAACTTGATATAATCAACCATTCACCAGTGCTATTGAGTAGCTTTTGGTACATTTTGGAAAATAAAATAAGTTTGGCTCTTTATATCAAATATAGTGAAAAATGGGTTGGTCAAAAATATTAGCCCCCATGTGAATTTTTGCTTTCAAAACACACCTAATCAACCAATCAGCTTTCAAGCCACACCTGAGCATTCATTGTGAGCTAAGTTAACAATATATCATCATACATAAAGAATAAAAAAAAAAGATATTGGATATGCCATATCGTATATGGTAGGCTAATGCACAGTGTGCATAATATAGGTCTTAAATCATCCCTGTTGTAATAAATTTGTTTCATTTAAATTTTTTCCCCGTTGTAATAAATTAGTCAAATTTTTCGATCAATAAAACACAGTAGCAACTTCTATATGTTTCAGATAACTTTATTTACACACATGCACACACATGTTCAAATGTTCTCAACGGAGAATGAAAATTACTTGCCTATTAATAAGGGCAAAATAGTACAAATGGCACTTTTGGCTGAACAAGCAAGATAGAAAAATAGGGCCCGCCTAATTATACAAATAAAAAGGCTGAATAACTTAAACTTAGGCCCTAATTAAAAATGAAATCCCCTTAGCCTATATATAGGGCGGTTTGTAGCCTAATATTAAAAACAATAAATCAATGGCATAAATGTTCTCAACGGAGAATGAAAATAAGGGAAATAAACTAGGCTACAACTGGAAATAATTTAGGCTATGAGGACAGCTTAACTTGGCCCGTCGGCCGCCGCCTGATAAAAAGGCTGAATAACAAAAAATGTAAGCCTACAAGCAGGCATATGGTTTGTAGCCGAATATGAAAAGGCAAATCAAATTCACATTTGGCGCATCTATCTCGCGGACCTCAATCTAGGTTCCTTGCTAAAAAGACAAGCATATTTACTTTGTCTGGCTTTATTTGTGCGCGTTGTGGTGTCACCGTGTTCCCTGCGGTGCTGAAAATACGCTCAGACGCTGCACTTGACGCACATATGCAGAGGTATTTGCGGGCCACCATGGAAAGCAACGGTAAGCGTGTCTCATTTACTTTCCACCACTGAAGCGGGTTTTCCCCCGTATCGATTGCGTCCTCCTGTGTGTAGACAACCAGCTCTGCGTGTGCTCGCTCCACTACAGTGAGGACTGGTCTCGCTGCAACCGCTCTCCTTGCCAGCAGACTGGCCAGCGTTGCTTTCTTCTTCTTGGCCGGCTGCTCTTCTCCCGCATCTTGTTGCGCAAACGTGCTCTCTCCTTCCTCCACTCTGATTTTAACTTGACTCGTCTGCTTCCCAGCACTATCATCTCCGTCTCAATTCCCTTTTTGTCTCATCCACATTGCTGTAATATTCACGGTAGCGGGGGTCTACAAAGGTGCAGTTTCGCAGCAGTTTTTGCACAGAGTCATTGGCATATTTGGCCTCCAGCTTTGCCAACATCCCCGACTTCAGCTGAGCGGTTAACTCCACATCACTTTCCGATGGAGCCAGAATGTCCTCCTTTAGGAGTTGGAGAATGGGGAGGATGGATGAGCTGGTCACATACGCATCACCCGACAGCGCATCTGTGAATGTGCTCACTGGTTCTAGTCCCTCATTGACCGCTTTAAGGACATCAACGTCTTGCCATGTCAGGTGGATTGATGCCCGTCTGTCATCTGCCAGCACCTGTCGATTGGCTCGAGCTTGCTCAATGATCCGACTAATCATTTTTTGCTTCGAACCCCAGCGAGTAGGGCAGTCCTGCACATGGAAATATAGTATTAATAATGGCCTAAAATAATAATAATAATAATAATAATAGCCTAATAATATAAGCTAATAATAGAAGCATGCATAGTTACAGCAAGCAAGCAAGCATGTAAGCTATAAATTAT